ATATATATATATATATATATATATATATATATATATATATATATATAAATATATATATATATATATATATATATATAAATATATATATATATATATATATATATATATATATATATGTATATATATATATATATATATATATATATATATATATATATATATATATATATGTATATATATATATATATATATATATATATATATATATATATATATATATATATATATATATATATATATATATATATACATACATACATACATATACAGTGGGTTGCAAAAGAAACACCTACACTAACAATTTTTTTATGATTTTAATTATAAAATGTATAATCAAGCAAACAAAAAAAATTAAATGTGGCCGTGAAAACTTTTTTACAAAAAAGGTATATATGTACTCTAATACTTATATAAATATAATCATTAAAAAAATGGATTAGTATGGGCACATTTAATATTTTAAAAAACAACTTATGGATATTGAAATTTGACAAATTATTGAAACTGCTGACCAAGAAGAGTCTCACAGAATCATTGGAAAGTGTTGTAAACAACAAAACTCAACTATTAGTAGATTGGTGAAGAAATATAAAAACACTGCTAAAACTGAAAGATCTGTTGGATCTGGGAGAAAATCTAAACCTAACACTGTCAAAATAGATTGAAAAAACACATATTTTTCTGAGATAAAACTAGATTTAAACTTTTCTAACATCTCAAAGTGGAGAACATCTCGTAGAATAAAAGTATGGTGTGAATTTTTTGCTGGAAAGCAAAACCTTTACTTAGTGACTGTTTTTTGTTATGTTCAATTGCAAAAAAAAATTAAAGTGCATCGAGCACAAAGATTGGACATGTGAACAATGGGCTAAAGTTACTTGGATCAACGTTTTTCTTTTTGTTTTGTTTTGTTTTGTAATAGTCAATTTCACTGTAGGAAATTAGTTGAACCTCCAAACATGAAAAGCAACCATTAAACAAAAAGATTAATGTTTAGGGTAGCTTTACACTCAAAGTTAGAAAACTTTACCAGGTGATGGGCACAATGGACCAGCATTTAAATCATAAAAACTTATATAATTAATTTGGAACATGTTTTGATGAACTTTTGCTGACTACTTCTTGAATAAAAAATATCTTGAATCTAAATTGAAAACAGTTGTCTTGCCCAGCACAGTCTCCTGATTTAAATCCAGTAGAAAACCTTTGGTTTATATTGAATAGAAAATTGCTAAATGAAGATGAACTGTTCCAAATTTCCTTGTTGGTTGGAATGCATTGCCAAATAACTTACTAAAAAGACTTGTAGATTGTCTTCTAGATGTGCAAAAGTCATAAGAAAAATAGGATAGCCAATCAAAATCAGTGAATACTTGAAAAATACTTTACAAATCCTAAATTCTTTTTACTATATGTAATATACAATAATATAATATACATTTCTATAAAAATTTTCTTGAATAACCTTTATTATATGAGATTAAGATATTTTTTTATTAAAAAAATTTAGCGTTGCTTTTTTTTTTTGTGCCTCTTGTGTATAAACATATATATTTATGTTACATGAAAAATTGGAGAGTTTTAATTGTAATAAAGATTTAAAAAATTTATTATACTTTTTACAACGTTGAAAGGTGATTTAATAGAGTATTAAGAGATATACTTTAAAGCATTTTATTTAAAAATCATTGATGATAATTATTGCAGGTATATATAACAATGTCACAACCGAAGTTTTTATAAATTGTCTTGATTATACTTAATAGTTAAAAATTAGACTACCATGAAATCTTTATAAACGTATTAAGTGCAATGGTTGCAGAGTGTATAGATAGTAAGAGTTAGTTATTTGAAAGATAGAATTAAATCTAAAGAATCACACTGAATGTAAATAAAGCATAAGTTTTTTATTTTAATCAAAGAACTGAACCAATACAGAATTCTGGGTAGTAGTCTCATATATTGAATAGAAAGAAACAACAAGAACATTATAGCAACAACAGATCTAAGGTTTTTTGGTTTTCAATTAAGTAGCTTGCCAACTGAAGGCAAACAATTTTCTACCTAAATGTGGTTGTAAAGAAAAATATTTCACCTCAGACTAGAAGAAAATGTTATTTTTGTTTAAAAGTTATTTTGAGTAAAAGTTAAAAGTAGTAAACTGAAGAAAATTAATATATTATGATTACTTTTAGTACCTATTTGTGTTACCAAATATAAATAAAGTTACTCTTGTGTGCTTAATACAAGTGGTGTGTGTGGGGGAGGGGGGGAAGGGGGATAAAAGTGTGGGTGGGAATTTTAGTCTCATCAAAAAAATGACCCTTTAAGACTTAAGGGTCCTTATAAAAGGGTGGGAGGTGGTGATTTTTTACAAAATAAAAAAAAAACAATTTATTTCTATTGTGGCTTGTGGTTAAATGCGCATTTTTTAATGTTGTTTCATCATAATTTCAATAGAATAAAATATGCTTATATAGGTTTTATACTATGGTGAACTAAATGAAAACCTAGTTTTTGACAAATCAAGAATTTTTAAGTTCGAAAATCTTTAAAGCTTGATTACACTGAAAGTTTTTATTCTTATCTTTGACTGATATAAATATTTTCTAATTTTTTTTTTCAGTTTTAAGATGTTTTTTTTGTTGATAACAAGTAAAAATTAATAAAAAAGGGAAGGAGGAGGGTCTTAATTAGCTTGAGTTGGGTGCTGAAAATTAATAAATGTCCCCTCCTGTGTATTAAGCATCTAAGAGTATAGATATTTTTTTTGTTTGGTTTGATTAAAAAAATTTTTAAAATATTGAACAACATAAGGCTGTAACATGTTTATTTTGCACTAATGAAATCAAAATGACGGAAGTCATGTATCAGTTAACATTTACATTATAAATACTCACAAAGAAATGTATTTGCTTTATCAGATTAAATTTATTTTAATACCCATACATAAATTTGTTTTGCTAATTTTGTGCTTATTTTAGATGCTTAAAATGTGAAGTATCTAAAACTACAGTGTTTAAAAAAAATGAATTTTTTTAGTTCATTAGTTTTGATTATTAGGAGGTGTCTTTAATGTTAAAAAACTTTTCAAAATTTTTAGCTCAACATTAAAACTGTTTAGGAGTAACAAGCTGATCATAATTTTACAGGGGTCATGATGTGGTATGATCTTGTGACTGGGGTCATGATGTGGTATGATCTTGTGACTGGGGTCATGATGTGGTATGATCTTGTGACAGGGGTCATGATGTGGTATGATCTTGTGACTGGGGTCATGATGTGGTATGATCTTGTGACTGGGGTCATGATGTGGTATGATCTTGTGACTGGGGTCATGATGTGGTATGATCTTGTGACTGGGGTCATGATGTGGTATGATCTTGTGACTGGGGTCATGATGTGGTATGATCTTGTGACTGGGGTCATGATGTGGTATGATCTTGTGACTGGGGTCATGATGTGGGATTATCCTCTAAAAAGGTTTTAGATTTTACTTGAAACATTGGATTTGCTGTGTGAGCTGAACCTCCATCTTGTTAAACATCACCTTGAAGATGTGGTTGCTTTTGATGCTGATATAGTGGTGGTTGATGTTGATGTGGTTGATGATGTTGTTGATGTTGTTGTTAGTGGTGTTGATGTGTTTGTTGTTAATGTTAATGTTGTTGTTATTGATGTTGATATGGTTGTTATTGATGTTGATGTGGTTCTTGTTGATGTTGATATGGTTGTTGTTGATGTTGATATGGTTGCTGTTGATGTTGATATGGTTGTTGTTGATGTTGATATGGTTGTTGTTGATGTTGATATGGTTGTTGTTGGTGTTGATGTTGTTGTTGATAAGGTTGTTGAAAAAAAACATTTTGAATTTTTTTTCAATTTTTTTGACATTGATTCTACCCTTTTGATTAAAGACATGAAAATTAGTTTGATTGCTCCAATTTATTTTTCACCAGTCTTAAGCAATCCAGCTTAGCCTTTTTTTAATTTCACTGTTTATGCTGTTTATGAATGATACATGTATCCATTGGTACATGCATCTATGAATGACAGGCCTTCTTACTGCAATGTAAGTTTTAATAGCTTTTTGCAACAATCTTTTTCTCACTATCTCTCTGCTAATTTTTCTATTAGAAAATGACCCCTTTAAGATTTAAAGCTTTTTTTTTTTTTTTTTTTAAAAGATTACCTTATGGTTCCATTTAAAAACCTAGGAGTTTACTAAAGATATTACCATTATACCATATATGGTATGTTGGCAATATTTTTAGTAAATTCCTAGGTTTTAAAATGCCATATTATGGAACACAAGCTGTTTTGTCTAATTAGTGTAATAAAATTTTAACTTATCCAAACCAAAATTGAGCTATTTAGTCTCATTTGAAACTGGTTTTGGACCTATGTGCACATTCTAAGTTTAATATTTGCATTTAAATATTGCAACTTATTTTTTGATCAATATAAATCTTCTTAATAATGTTTTGATGAATTTTTTGACTGAAAACTATTTATTCTAACTTAATACGTAAAAATAGTTTTTTGAAATTGATTATAAGTTAAATAATAAAATATATATAAATAATAAATATTGATTGGTGTCACTTTATAATTTGTAACAACACTTAAAAAGTTGTAAATAAGAATCATGACTTTAGTGGGCTCCTCCTTGTAGTGGGATTTGGGGAGTCAAGTAAAAAATAAAAAAAAATCAAAAATACAACAAGTAGCTTTTAAATTTATTGCAAAAATTGTAACACTAATTTGTCAAATTGATACAAAAAGTAAAAACTTTTTAGCAGAAGTGTTTGTTGATGAAAATCAACTGTGAATTGATGCAATGATCATTGTGCTATTTCAATGATCATTTATCTTTATTCCAAGTCTGTTTTTTTAACAAGACTATTTACCTTAACTGTGTATCCACCAAATTGTTTGCCAGTTTTGCTTTTGTTTATAAAAGTTTGTTTCATTTATGTGTATATGTTTAATTTTGATAGGAAAACTTAGAGCTTGGTTCATTTCTGACATTAGCTGTTAATATACAAGAAAGAGATATGTTGTGTTGCATTCCTGAAGGTGAAAATGCAAATATGGACTCCATAATTAAACTAAAGGCTGAAGATAACTATGCAATTGATTTAATAGCAAATTATGGGTGTCGTCTAAGGTGAGTTTAAGTATTTACTTTTCAATAGTGTATAATAATTTTTATTCTTTTTTTTTTTTATATGTAACCTTTTAAGTATACTATTATATAGACACCTCTATGTTGAAAAAAAAAAAATTAAATCTCAAATAATAATGATTTTGAATTAAAATAGTTAGAGTTGATTCCACATTCCATTGGGTTGATTCCACACCTACCATGAGTTTAACAAATGTTATTATGTTAAATTATTAAAACAGTAGATATGCATTAGAAATTATTTTATGAAGGCATAAATATAATACTTAAGGGTTGATTTAAAATTGTTCTCACTCAGAAATTTATATCATTTATGTGCTTATTTTGATCAAACTTTTAAAGTGCAGCCTTCCTTTCTTATCATATCTGTTTCATACATTCATACAGTATTGGCCAAAAGTTTGAATCCACCTCAAATTTTTGGCCATAACTGAAAATTTTTTGCATTGTTTATTTGTAATTTGTTTATATTGTTATACTATTGATTGATTGTTAGAAAAATTGCTTGACTCATACTTTTAATCTATTTGTGCTGTATATTTTGTGTTTTTGTGTATTTCTAGTGAATTTATTGATAATTTTTACAATGGTTCGTGGTAATGAATTATCCATTGTAAAACGTGCTCAAGTTTGTTTGCTATTTGATGAAGGTCACAGTCAGCGGCAAATTGCAAGTAAATTAAGTGTGTCTCGTGGTGCTGTCCAAAAGTGTATTAGCCGTTTCCTTGATCCTAACACTTCTAATTACCTTTCAAGAAGGAGAAGTGGAAGACCAAAGGTAACTTCCATGCGCACGGACACTGCAATTGTAAGGTGTGCCAAGCTCTCTCCCTTGTCTTCTTCTGCCAGGATTCAATCGTTATTACCATCTGAAGATAATATCAGTACTCGAACGATTAGAAGGAGACTACTTTTTGCTGGGCTGAAGTCAAGGCGACCTGCAAAAAAGCCACTGTTGTCTCGAAAAAAACATACAAGACCGGTTGGCATTTTGTCGCAAATACTGCAATTTCTCATCTGATGATTGGGAGAATGTCATGTTTTCAGATGAGTCTACTTTCAATCAATTTTACACTTTCCAACAACACGTTCGTCGTCCAGATGGGATGCCAAATACTGCATTGCTACAGTGAAGCAATGTGCAAAGGTGATGGTGTGGAGTTCCTTTTCCGGTAAACATGGACAAGGAGGTTTGTGGTTCATGCCACATGGGAAAACAATCAATGCTGAGACCTACCGTAGAATACTGCAGGAGAAGTTGGTCAATCTTATGCAGATTCACCAGGTGGATCACTTTCAGCATGATGGTGCTCCTTGATATAGGGCAAGATCAGTGTCAAAGTGGCTAGCGGATAATCATATTTCCGTGATAGGACCATGGCCAGGGTCATCACCTGATTTAAATCCCATAGAAAATCTGTGGGTAATTATGAAAAAAAAGGTGGCCGCTCACAATCCAACATCACAAGAACATCTGAAAAGAATAATTCAGGAAGTGTGGGCAATGGAAACTAGTGTGGAGTACTGTCAGAAGTTGGCGCGTTCTATGCCTTCTCGTATAGCACAGGTGCTAGCTGCAAAAGGATACCATACTAAATACTGATAATTTTGTAATAATTAATAATGTAACAATACATAACAATGTTTTTGATAATCTACAACAGTTGTATAACATTTTAGTAACGATAAGTTTATGGAGTGAGCATAAGGCAATTTTATGTTAAAAATTTGAGGTGGATTCAAACTTTTGGCCAAGACTGTATATATTGTTAACCACTTATTGTATATTTTAAAATAATGATAATATAAGATGAAGATGATAAAGTCACATTTGAATGGTTCTCTTCTAAATAAGTAGTTCAAGTGTCAATTGCAGTTGACAGATAATCTTTGAACAATTTTTGTATAGTCAACACTATTAGCATTGAGTGGAAAAGTTCCAGTATTTTTAAAACTACTTTGAATATTATTTTTCATAGAAGGATCAATTATAATTGAATTTAATACCTCTGAGTACATTCTCCTTGTTTATCTTCTGTCCTTTGTGGTTAATGCAGGATTGTTGGCATAAAGATTTTCTATTTGCTTTCGTTGGCCCAAAAAAAGCCAGATCGAGTAGCTGCAAGATATGTGTTTCATTTGGGAACAAAGCAATAAAAATACAGAGAAAAATTTACTAAGTAATTAAGTCATGGTCTTGGTTTTTACTTTCTTGACTACATTTATGCTATATGGTTTCACTTTATTTCAGGATAAAATTTGTTTTATCTGCAAAAGAATAACTAAGTATCTACAAACTAAAAGAGAATAAAACAATAGTCAAAAATTCTTTGTCCAAAAATTAAAAAAAACATTTGCTGAATTTGAATAAATAGTAGAGTTAGTTTACTAAAAAATGGTTATTTTCCTAAAAATGGGATTTCTTTTTTTATTAAAAATGATGAAAAAATGTGCAATGTAAAAAAAATTTTGTGGTCATCCAACCACTTTTTTCAATAACTTATCCTACGAAGCAGCATTTATAATTCTATAAAAAAGACAAACATATTTAAAAGATACTAATAATGGAGCAAAGGTTCCTCAGGCATTTACTGCAAATAAAGTGGTAATGCTTTTTTTACTACTTTGACACTTTCTTCATATGTATTCTCTCGTTGTTTACCAATTAATAGTTGAGTTTTTACCTTGTACCAATTCATACCCAGAATATTGTATCATCATACAAGTTCTTCCAGATATTTGGAATCATGAAACATTTGATCAGAAATTCCGAACATCCTGCTTGCTTTGTACACAACCGTACCTTTTGTACACAACCGTACCTTTTTATAATAGTATTAAAAGCATCATGTAATTGACTATTTGTATACAGAAGTCTTCTTTTTGAGCTACCAGTTTTTGTTTTGGTGTTGTAAAAGAATCAAGTTAAAACAAAATTACATGATATTTTATTTTATTTCATATCTTTTAGTTCTAACTTTTTGTACATTCAAATATAATACATTGATAATGATGAGCGATTTTATTAATAACTATTCATGTTTTATTTACCTGATTAAGCTCAATTTAGATTTTATGATCTCTTTTTAAATTCCTTTGTCTTTGTTAAAATGCTTCTAATGACTACTAGTTAGCTTCTAACAGCTGCTTGTTAAAAAAAAAGATTTAGTATTTTATATAGAAGTGCATGATATAAATGTTCATACATAAAATATAAAAAATAATAACTACCTGTTGCAAAATTTGTGTTAATATTTAAAATCTACAATAAACCTACAAATAAATCTCGTGGTAGGCATTTAAAAAACCATTAAATTTTAAATACAAAAAAAATTGATGCAGTGATTTTTTATGACGTTTTCTAGCAATAGTTTTTTATATTTATAGTTTTAATAAATATAAAGAGGAATTTTGAAATCTCCATTACAATTTTGGTTCTTTTGAGACCCAGATTGATATATCTTTGGATGAAAAGAATTTCACTGATATATTGGGCCCAGCGTGTAATGAAAAGTGATGCAGGGTGAATGGGCCCAGCGTGTAATGAAATGTGATGCAGGGTGACCTGTAGCAAAAGTTTAATGAAAACAATGATTTCGTTTACTTTAGTTGTTTCTAATCAAATTTCTTTTTTTTTTTTTTTTTTTCATTAAACAGAGGATACTAGCCATAACCCACCTAAACCAGTATTTCTAATTTTTAGACATGGAGCGAACTCCAAACGTAAGAGCAACCGATATATAGAATATTTTTTTTACCATTAGAAACTAAATTGGTATTCATGAAAAAGTTTCAAATATTACGCAACAATTTCTTGGTTTTCCAAAAATCATAACCATACAAAGTTTGCACCCCCCTCAAATTGAGAAGGTAAAAAAAAATTATATAACCATAACTTTTAAACAATAAAAAATTATTGCATAAAATTTAAAATTTGCCAATGAATATAAACTCTATAGCTCTCATGCTATGGGTAGGGGGAAAGCATTTAAAGCTTATCATGTTCCCAAGCTCTTATAATCAAATTTTTTGCAAAGCATCATTATTTGACATCAACATTAACACTTAAATATTTGGACTTCGTCCTATTTTATTTTTTTTTTCAGACTTTTAACTTCAAAATCGGAAGCTGTTTCTGATTTGAACGAATTGCTTTGCAGAACAACAAAACTTTTATATGCTGATTCGTCAAATGATCAGCGTTTTTGTGGTTTTGATTGGTTCACTAGTATTATTTTCCTAATTTTTCGTGGCGATATCGATGCTGCTTGGAAGTTTTTAAAAACGTTTTTTTATCTCAAATCTTCTTCTTATGTATGGATGAAAAGACTTGACGGAAAGCCAGTAAGTAACTAAATTTAAAAATCATAAAATATTCTTTTGAAATATTTTTTGGATTTTCACATATTAACTTAACATACTTTAATTTAGCTTAAAGAAAAATTCAATTTACATCCTGTTTACACAAAAATTTGCCATTACATTGAGATGTTATTAGAAAAAGAACTTCCATATGTATATTCCGCATTCTACATGGCAGATTACCCTGTTTCTTCGATTTGCTTACTGTGGTTTCGTCAATCTTTTCTCAATTATCTTGACTGGCCAGAAATCGTATGCTACATAACAGGATCTGTTGTAATAAAACTTGATTATCCTATTTATTTTTGTTTAGCGATTTTTAATCATCTACAATCGGATATTATACTTCATCGACAAACTGGAAATCTAGTAAAATATTTAAGAAGTTGTACACTTAGTAAATTTCGTGTGGCTAACTATATCGATTTCATCAAATCATTAAGTAAACGCTATAGTTTTTTTATCCTTAAAGATTTATCGGATCTTTGAATTTTATTTTTTTTTTAATTTTATATACGCAATCATACTATTTATTAATATTTTTTAATTATTGTTTTTTGTTTTTTAATTTTTTTTTCCCTTGCAGTTATACTTCTTTTCTTTTCCGTTACTTTTAGTCGTATGCAATAATTTTTTCAAGGAAAAATAGTTTTATAGAATTTCTATAAACTTTAACATATGACCAAAAGTTCTATAGACTTTTATAGAATGTCTACTAATTTCCATAGAACTCTTTTTCTACGTATAAAAATATACGTAGAAAAAGAGTTCTGTAGCAGTTTCTATAGAAATTATTAAATTTTTTGGCCTATAAAAATTCTATAGAATTTCTACAGGTCATATGTTTATATGTCTATAGGCTATATAGAAATTCTATAGAACTTTTTTTCCTTGATTGTCTTCATAAAATAATTGTCGTATTCAAAACCATTTAAAAATAAATCATTATTTGTTTAGATAAGTTATTTATTTTAAAATTCTTTGTTTTATTAGACTAAATTTTTAACAAAATATATTGAAATCATTTATATTTATTTGTAAATTCTATACTTAAAATATAAACTTAAGTTTTATTACATTGATTGGCTAGCACTGTTTTTGTTGTCTAACCTGTTTTTGTTAACTAACCGGGTTTTGTTGACTAACCTGTTTTTGTTGACTAACCTGATTTTTTGTAGTAATCATTTTTCCTTTCTGAGCGAAGTAAAAACCCCGATTCTTGATTTACAAACGAATCTTATTACACATAAAAATTGGTTATAGTATTAGCTTGTATCAAAAAAAAAAAAATAGTTCTAGCAGTAAATAAATAAATGAATTTTTTATAGGTAACTTGATAAATAACTTCTGCTGACAATTTTGCCGGAAGAACAAAATTACTAACATTTACAAATTTGCTTACATTTTTGTTTGATGAATTCAGTAGCATAAGTAGGGATGCAAAGAATATGCATACTACGTTTTCAAAATATTTCGCTCTTTAGGCGTTATGCTTTTTCACTTTAAGTTTTACTCAATAAATTGAGAAAGACCATATTGGTTACGAGTTGGTAGAAAATAGAGAAGTATTGAGAAGTTTTGTTATTTTTGTAATTTTTATTTTTTGAAATTTTTTTAAGATGCGGTAAGTTTACCACATTTTGTGCTAATATAAATATTGTAAAATGATTTATTATATAGGATTAGTGATAATATGATGTTTTTTTTTTTATTATTAGTTTGTGGTACAAGCATATAACTTAATTTTTTTTTTTTTTTTTTTTTTTTTTTATAGATGGACGATTCCCATTTTATTTTAGCCAAAGGATACAAATAGTTTAGTTTTATTAGTAACTCGAAGGAAATTTTTCCAGTTGCTTGAAAAGTTTAATTTTTTTTTTTGCAAATCCCAATATTTTCTCGATATGATTCCAAAACATAATCAAATCTTTTAAAATTTTGAAGCTCTATCAGTGAATATCAAAAAGTTCTTGTAAAGCAATGTACAGATTTTTGAAAAGCAAATAATTAAGTTTTAACTTGTCCACCTTTTAAAGAGCATTAGGTTTTTCCTTTATTGTAAGACAACTGAAAAATGGCAGTTTATTTCGTTTGACTGATTTCTTGATAGATTGTGATCGATTTATTATTCTTTCTTTTATGAATGTTTGATAGTATTTCAATCCTTTGACTGATTTCTTGATAGATTGTGATCGATTTATCATTCTTTCTTTTATGAATGTTTGATAGTATTTCAAACCTTTTCAACTCTTTGTGTAGTAGTAAGATTATTTAACTATTCTTTGCAAATATTAGAAAAGAAGATCTGCTGATTCCTAAAGATGGTCTGCTAATTCCTCAACGTAATGGGTTACCAAGTTATTCATTTGTTTTAAATTAATTATTTACTTTTAAAATAGTTGCATTACTTTAAAAAATTTATTTTGAAAATTTTGTATTGAATTATATTGTTGCATTTGTTTGATTTGTTGAAGTTGATATTCAGAAAGTTTTTGCTCAGATTTCCCACGTGTGACCCACCAGTCAACCAAGTCCCACGTGTGACCCACCAGTCAACCAAGGCTCAAATGCTGTACGTTTATCAAGATTTCTAACTACTCTTACCGCGTTTTTATAAAAATAGACAACATATTTTACTAACAACAAAGTTACCATTTAGGTATTCTTCATAAAATGACGGGGACAATCTCAAATAGAACAGTCATGTTTAGGCTAGTCAAAGAGAGCAATCATGGTTTAGGCTAAAAATCCAAGGAGCAACGTGTCGCAGTGTTTTAACATACAGATTAAAATCTGCATTTTTAATTGAACTGAGAAAAATTAACAAGAATAGTTATAAAACAAGTGTCATCCAGAATATGAAATGAGAACTGTCTTCCAATTGTTTTTCAACCTTCTAACTAGTTAAAAAAAAATCATTATTGTTGCACCAAAAATTTCAGATGTGTAACCACATATCTGCCATTTCTGTTACACAGCGTCTATATAAAGAGATATGCATGACAAGTGCAAGCTGTTACTTGATAATCATGTTGTATATTGCGTTCGTTTAACTTTCAGCAATCAATCTTTTGTCCAAATGTTATAATATTGTGCAGATGTTATAATATTGTCAAGATATTATAATATTGT